CCAGAAGGAAAGGCCAGGAAAAGGCCAGGAAACTTAGGTTTGTTGGATATGAGCCAGATTCCAAAGGATATAGATTCACAGATGAAACTAAGAAGGTTGTGATTTCAAGGTCTGCTAGTTTTGCAGAACAAAACAATTGGGACAGGATGCATGCTAACACCGAGGTGTTCATGCCAATATGTAGCACTAGTTCTCAGGAAGAAGAGGCTACACAACGCCCAATTAAGAAAGAACAGGATAGCAGGTCAGAAATAGAAGGAATAGAAGAGTGTAGACCTGAGGTAAAGAGAGAAGTCACAGAAACAGATGATACCGAGGAGGTCTGAACGTAGCAATAAAGCGTACCTCCTGATTGGTTCACAGCAAGTGGGGTTAAAGCGTATAGTGTAAGGTATGAACCCCATAATTACCAAGAGATGATGTCATTGCCTAAAGTAAAACAGGATAAATGGAAGGAGGCTATGGATAGAGAAATGGAGTCTATGAATGTGAATCAGGTGTTTACCCTTATGAGATAACCAGAAGGAAAAAAGGCTGTGGGGTGTAAATGGGTATAAAAAAAGAAGGTTTTACACAATAATGAACTGCGGTATAAGGCATGGTTAGTTGCGCAAGGATTTACACAGAGAAAAAATGTTCTGAATTAACCTGGTATCTCCAATTACTAAGAGATGTACGTATTGATGTAAAAGAAGCTGTGCCAATATTTGAGGACAATGTTGCATGTATAAAGATGGCAATGGGACAACGTATTGGAAGCAGAAGCAAACATAAAATATTGTAATGTCAAGGAGGCTGTAAAGGATAAACTGATAAAGTTACAGCATTGTTCCACTGACAACAATATAACCAATATGTTGACTAAGTCTTTAAATGCAGGCAAGCATCAAGAGTATATAAAAGCATTTGGGTTAACAGCTGTTTAGCTTTAAATGGGAGGAGTGTCAAGGTATTGATTTAACAGCTAACCATGTAAGATGTAATGTAATGGTGGGAATGACTCAGTAGGGTCTGTGTCTCTTTAAGAGCATTTGTATAAAGGAAAGGCTCTGCTGATGTGTTTTCTCTCTTCTGTTTCCTGCTGTAACTGCTGTGTGTTGGATTCTGCGGTATTAACACATGTATGTCTATTGTTCCTGGTGTATGATATTGTAGATAGTGTAATATAAACCACCATTTAATATAGACCACTGTTTACTGTGTTTACTCCTAGGTTATCTCAGTGCAATAAGACTGTGCATGCTCTAACATCAAATTGTCAAGGAGGCAACAGAAGGTTGGACTTAAAGAGTACAAAACGCTTCAATGAGGGAAGTAATGGTTCACTACCATGTTTTGGCTCTTGGTTGAGATTGTACTCTCTAGGAGCTGGAATCTTGATATTGTAGGATTTCAGACTGCATACCAGCCTTTGCATATATGTGAAACTTTTTTCTGCCGAAAACTACTCTGTGTCATGGATGACTACAGGTTCACTGATGTCACCAGCATGAACGAGGGGATGGAGGGGCTATTTGGTGGTCCACATTTTAAGGTGTCAACTGAACAGGCTAACAAAGATTTTTATTTAAATGCTTCACCCATTAAAGATGCATTTGCTTACTTTAAACAAATCAATATTTTTTCAGCCCTTCTGTAGAATTGGCATGCTTATATTGTCTAGCGTTAAAATTAATGACCACATCTGCAAAACATTTTATGCACTTTAAAGCACTATATAAATGCTAAGTATCTGTTTATTATTCTGGTTAACTTTGCTATGCATCTGTAGTCATTTGTTTTCCCTGAAATGTTGTAGGGGATGAGATGTTGTTTTCTTCTTTCAGTTACCTGTAACCTTTGAGAATATAAATTAAAACATGTATAGCATTAGGAACAGGGATGCTTGGTTCTCAGTTGTGGAATTTTCACAGAGACTCTCTAAATGATATTGGGCTTTCTGGCAGATACATTCTTCCAAACTTAAGTCCTGAAGTTATTTCCAAGCCACTTATATTGATGTTAGGACAGTGAGCTACACTGAAGTCAGTATTCCCAATTCTTCAGGATAGTAATTGATAATTACTGGTAATTACATTTGGCTTACAAATGATTATCTTTCAAAAAATTCCAGTGTTGATATATGTTTGTGTAGCCCTATGATAATAATTCTTTAAACTTTTAAAAACCATTCTTCTTAGCATTTCACAGATGAAAAGAGGATGCCCCTCTTATAATGTTTCTCCTATCGAGCCCTGACATACTGCTAAAGAATGTATACTTTATTAAACATTATTCTATTCTAATATTTAATTAAAAACAGCACCGCATTCATTCCTAGCAGCAGCATCTACAGGATGGGCTAATAGCTGCCATGATGCAAACTCTGCCCCCTTTGTGCTCATGTTAATGAAGGCATCAAATCCTGTGGATGCCTCTGTTTTTCTGGATTAAAGATTAAAACATATAATCCACTGATAAAGTTATCACAATATTCCTGAGCAGATTCAATGCATAAACCAATAGCATTTCAGTAGAGCCACACCCTTTCTCCATGCTCAGAAATATCATATCCCTCCCCCTCTATTGAGAGAGGGCTCTTCAGCCTTAATGTAGATGGCCTCTTTGACCCCCCCCCTTTCAATCCCAATGGTGGGTCCAAAGAGAAACAGAGGGGGGGATATGATACCACCATTTCCTGTTTACAATACAGTCCTTTCAGCAGTTCCAAGAATGTTCCACTCCTATTTGCATGGGTGACCTTGAGGGCACAGATAAATCTACAAGTGGCCTCAACAATTCTCAGAAAGAGTGCTAACAACCAGATGATTGCAAGGAATATAAATCCTTCCATCCTCCACTATTCAGTCAGAACTGAAGAAGCTTCTTGGATGAGAAACAAAATGTTTTCAAGGAAAAATAAAATCCAGTTGCCTTTTGAAAAAGCACCTTTGGGGGTTTGACCTCATCCTACACATTATTTGCCCTGACCATCCTGGGCACAATCAAAGCCTGCATTTCTACATGCAACACAGGAGGCATATAAAAAAGATATTGTGGTTTGATCCCACTATCATGCCCACCATCTTGACTTTTCTAATTACCTCTGTAGAAGGCTCTGAACTCATTCCTGTAATCTTGTACAAAGAGACCAATGGTTTAGTTTCCACTTTTCAGCACTAGCTTAAAATAGCACAATCAATAGCAATAAAAGAAAGAATTATGTTTTTAATACATAAGTGCCTGAGAACTGAAAACAATTTCAGAATAAAGGGAGAAAAACATGGGAAAAAGTTAATTAGTATCTGATAGCAATTGTTTTAATTGGACATATTTGTAAGTAGCACTTTAAAAGAAACAATTAATGAAGGCTAATATAAAGATCATTTTTGAAATAATTGATTTTTTTTATTCATACAGAAAAAATAGAGGTTAAAGCAAATCTAACACTATGAGATTGTACATTTAGAAAGAGATTGCAGGTTACACTAATACTAGTTAAGTTAAGTTAAGTTAAGTTAAGTTAAGTTAAGTTAAGTTAAGTTAAGTTAAGGTAAGGTAAGGTAAGGTAAGGTAAGGTAAGGTAAGATAAGATAAGATAAGATAAGATAAGATAACCTTTGTTGTTATTTTTTTACTATGGGCACAACGGCACACATCAAAAATGAAATTTAGTTGCCCGCTCTCAAAGTGAAACACATACATGACACACACCTAAACATACTATGTACAACATATGTATAGACCCACACCCCTACATATACATAACAAATAAGTATTAAATACTGTCCATCTTGAATATATAACGGAAGGAGGAAGCTTGAGAGTTCACAAGGTTAATGCTGTATGGAATGAAACTAAGGCTGAATTCAAATATCCAAACATATGTACTATATAATGTACATACTGTACATACACTGGATACTAGTTTTCTCAAAATGATTAAAATCTGGAGAATTAGCTCAAGTTTCATAACTTCAATAAGTTAATGCATACCCATAAACTTAAATTCGACATGGTGAAAGCAAGCATTTCCTAAACTAAGGGACATAATTTTCAGTGCAAAAAAACTAGGGATTCTTTTTTACATAACTTTCAACAGAAAAAAAAAATTGTGAGAACTGTTTCTGAGATGGTATTCTGAGATACTCCAGCTCCATTTTTTCTTTGTATTCAAAGAAATTTGGATTCACATGTAGAATTCTGATACAAAGTTTTTCCACTCCTGCAAATCCATTTTTGTTTTTGTACATCAGGCAGAACTATACTGAATTCCTGTCCACTGAATACTCTGTGTATAATTGCCTACAATATCAATACTTTCTTATTGTAGGCCTTATTTTCATCTTCATTTCATCTATAGGCTAATGCAAAAATATATACATTTCCTTCACAATGCAGTTTGCAAAAGCTTAACTGGAAAAATATAGTACAATGGGTCTAAATTACATCCATTCAAATCTGTATCCTAAAGTGGTTTTTTTTCAATCAGGTATGTTTCAGATATATTGGATCCACAATTTCTATAATTCCCTATGTCCTTAAGGAGTATGGACAATGGCTGGCAAGAAATTCTGGGACTACCATAGTAGTCCCATCACATCTGGAAAACAGTGAAGTAAAAACACTTTCTGGAGGGTTTCAGGATATCTTGGAAAGGAAGGGAGGGAGGGAGGGAAATGACCATACATTAAAGGTAGCATGATTGTACGGCAAGAGAGGGATGGGCTCTATAACCTAATTTAGGCAGCATACTAAGCAATAGCCTGCTTGACCATAGCTTGTTAAACAATCCAACATTAGCTGGATTCTTAAACACATAGCCATGTTCAGTATTCATTCATCAAATGATACTAAAATTAGTGAAAACAGTTGGTTTAGTGCATTGTGTGAACACAGCCTATATTTGGGGGTGATTGAAATGACTAGCTTGCCCCCACCCCTACATTTAGTAAATTTAGAAGAACTGGCAGATTCTTAACACAGAATGAAATCTCACATTTTAAATGATGGTGACTTACAGTAGCAAGTTTTTGGACATCTTCATCAGATGCTCCCAGGGAGGCCAAACCAATCTCTTGAGAAAACTGGGCAAATTTGGGATCAGCAAGCAGAGGCACATGTCCCAGGAGTTCATGGCATGTATCCCTGCCACAGAAAAAAAAATGCAATGTTAGTACGTGTCTGAAAACACTGTGATATAAATTCACATAGAGCACTGCAACAATTCCCAAATAGTATGTTCAGCATGTTCTTTTTCAAAATGAAAGAGAACTATCATAAAGGTTGCTTCAAAGGTTGAATCTTTTATTTGCAGCAGTAAAACAGCCTATTTATTTATTTTTGATTCGCTCCCTTATATTGTTTTATCTTTGACAAAAATATGAACTTGGTCTAAAAGATATAAAATACCAACCAGTTTTCATGGAAAGAAATGCTTCTTTTTAATTTTTTAAAAAAGCCTTCTTGCTTTTTATAGCTTTTTAAAAATCTCCCATTGTCTCTTTGCACAAGCAAAAATAGTATTGGTATTATAAATGTGTGTTTGTGTGTGTGGATTTTGGTGTCTCTGTATTTATTTCTACATTCAACGGTATTGAGTATTACATTTAGTTCCTCATTATATTTACGACCCCTTCCCAACAAAAACAATGAGTTATTCATACCAACCTATCCATTTTTCTTCACTAGATCACAGATGTGTATGTAAGTATCAGAATTCAGAACAATTAAGTAACTGTGTGTGAATATGAAAATAGAGAAGTTAAGAGTCTGTTTATTTTCTTTTTTATTGTTTTACAATATAGAACCAATGTCAAGGGGTTTGTGATTAAGTTTAGATCTAATAGACTTAGCATTCATTTTTGGTTCTGAACTGCCACCTTGTGCTTTTTATAAAAGACTCCATTTTAGGGAATAGGATTGTCTTGTAACTAAATGAACATAATCTAAACTCATGATTCAAGTACATACATCTAGTTTAGCTTTACAATATCCCTTTCTTTTCACTAATAAGGCTTCCTCCAAGAGAGCCATGAGATTGATTTTTGGTCCCACCCTACATGTGAAAGCCAGCTGGTGACTTTGAGCAGCCACTCTCTCAGCCCAACTCATCTCACAAGGTTGCTGTTGTGGGAAAAATAGGAGGAGGAAAGTATATTTGGTATGATTTCTGTTAAATTCGCGGGTTAAAGGCATTGCAAGGAAACGAGTAGTGTGAACAGCAAGTCTTCTTTATTCATTCACCAACAAACAGCAACAGAAAAAATGGCGCACAGGCCTTTTATAGTGTCCTTGCAAAGGCCAGCATCAGCCAATGAATGCAAGGCTGTTTTTGCGCCTTGCGCATATGCACAAGGCTGGAGACAGCCAGTCTGGTCCCGGGCAGCCTTGTGGTTTGCCCGGGACCCTTTGCAACATTTCTGAGCCTGCTGAATGATTCAGCAGGCCCAGGACATAACAATTTCCTTCTTGAGTTATTTATAAACATAATAAAGAAGGAAGAAACTCTTTAAAAATCAGTTTTCGTCTCCAAGTACTATAGGTGGGCAGATGGGTAAGTGGGTTGATTGGTTGGCTGATTTCTATTTATATCGAATATATCGAATACATAACTCTGGGTGACTTATACTGTAATTAGTATTCCCAGTCAGTATGTTCAACATATTGGGACCACACCAGTCCTAAAGGAAGTGTATGAATGAGCACTCTTGAATAGAAATGGAATTGCCTTCATTGATTTCAAGACTTGATATCTTGATATGTTTTCTTTTGGGGAGCACAGTGTTGATCTGAGGAGCAGAACCCATGATCCTCATGAGTTTTGCAGTGCTTCAGTTCTCACATTGCCAAGCAAAAGAGTGACAATGAAGCCCTGCTATTGAAAATGAAGTGTCATGTGAAAAAAGCCAAGGGCTATAGGCAGGAAGTCCAGAAACCTGGGGTGTACAGGAGTGAAATGAAGTGGAATGTCCTAAATTAGAACTGTTCAGTGCAACATTTTATCACTGGTTTCACTATTTACTATTAAATTATGTTTACTTGTGAGAGCTTTATTTGCTCGCTCTATTAAATGCATTTTGGTCCTGCTATTTCTGAATGTGATCCCATCTCACATTCCTATTGATGCAACTTATTTCTGGATGTGGCCAGATCCATCATTGCTGATGGTCTAGCCTACTTCCAGGTTACTCAAAAATGAACTAATGCAACTAACTCCTTAATAAGCAGAAAGTATCTACTTACTAATTCCCCAGCAGCAGAGCAGCTATTTCATTTTAGTCACCAAAGCACAGGACAGAGATTCTTCTGAGTATATGGAATACCATATTTTAATTGCACATAAATCACAACACTATCATGATAAGAGAAAAAATATCTTTAATCCTGTACTATAACACCTGTTATCTTTAATTCAATAGGCACTTTGCTAAAATTCTAATGCAGGGCTGTGCTAAAAGTATTAGACTTCGTGTATCTTGTCAAATGTGCATGGTATTTATATCATGGTCTTCTTTTGTCATTGTTCCCAATAGTCTTTCTTTTAAAAGTCATTTGGCTGTAGAATCCAGAACTTTGCCCTGCAGTTCAATCCTATATCACTTATCTCATAGTAAATACTGCCATGGGAAACTATCAAATGAGTATACACAAATGAGCACTACTGAAACACAGTAATCCAAATACTAAAGGATGAATTAAATCTATTGCTGAAAAAAAATGAACTGACGGGGGAAAAGAGAAGAAATTTTAGTTTTTTTCTTTTACTTTTTAGAACTGCAGTTTTAGCATTTTATTTTTTCTTTCATTGTTGTTCTGTTTGAGTTTGTTTTAGTTCATATTATTGCTAGAACTTTCAATAAAAAGTATATTTTTAGAAAATTGATATGGCCTCTAGATAGCAGCAAAGAAATACAAGAGACACCAATGCTGCCATTTAGTGCTTATTCGATTTTTTGCCATTCTGTTATGATACATGACTATTTGGATGTCTCATGTCATGTTCTTATGAATTCACAAAAAAAAACCTTTATTGTATCAGCATCAACAAAGGATAATTGCTTTGGATGACAAAGCATTTAGATGATGTCTCCTAGCAAAAGCTAAAAGATATATAATAAAGTAAGAAATAAATTTCCAGTGCAATGCAGTGCAATGTTTACTCTGAAGAAGTTTCATTGAATCAATGGGACTTAATCTCATGGGAGATAGATAGATAGATAGATAGATAGATAGATAGATAGATAGATAGATAGATAGATAGATAGATAGATAGATAGATAGATAGATAGATAAACTTTATTGTCATTTTTTACTGTGGGCACAATGAAATTTAGTTGCTTGCTCTCAAAGTGTACACAACATATCACACATTTAAACATACTATATACAACAACAACATATTTTTATTTTATTTTTATTATTATTATTATTATTATTATTATTATTATTACTAGTAGTAGTAGTAGTAGTAGTAGTAGTAGTAGTAGTAGTAGTAGTATTGCAGCACCAGTTAGATTATTACCAATAGAAGAGAATATTTGTAGCTGTGGATTGAACTCTGGGGTCTTTGGTGCTCTCTGAGCTTGGTTGTTTGTTTGCAGCTTTTTCATTACCCAACTAGGTAACATTATCAATGCTAGCTGTTAGCACTGAGGAGCTTACCTAGTTAGTTAACAAAATGTCTGCAAGAAAACAACCAAGCTCAGAGGGTACCAATGGCCCATATTTTGGATTGTCTTTCAATCTATATAAATAAAAATGTAAATGTTTGTTTGTTCAAAATCTTAAATCTCCGAAAGTTCTTCACCGATTGCTTTGAAATTTTGACACAACGTTGCATTTGAATACGCGCGTGTTTTTATATACCTACTATTATATAGATGTATAGATGTCACACCTGTGACAGGTAAAAACATGCTTTTTTTGAAAAACAGCGCCATCTGTTGGACGTAAAAGCAACACACGCTAGCATTGTGAAATTAAACATATTACAAACGTGCGCTTTCTCTTTTCTTTCTTTTCCATTTAACCAGACTGAGCCACAGCAACGCGTGGCCGGGTACAGCTAGTAAAGAATAATAAGAAAACAAAGTATATTCAGTTGCATCTAGTTGCACAACTTCCTTCAATTCAAGGGATGCTTCATATTTTGCATGGCATGTTAAGGCTTATATTCCAAAAGTGGGCATTAAGTGAAGAGGCAGGTTTCCAGGGTTTTTAGGGGTGGAAGAAAGAGGCAGAAGTACACTTTTTTTGCCCCTCGAAACTTCCTAAAGCAGAGAGGAAACTACAAGAACCAATTTAATTTTTTTAACCTCCAAAATGATGGGGGAGGTTTGACAGTCACAAAAAGAGATGCTGTTAGGCCACCCTTTTTAGACTTCTGAAGTATATGAAGGGAAAAGGTTTCTAAGAATATATACAAAGTAAAATAAAACTGGCGCTGGTAGAAATAACTATTCCATATAAGCAGAAACTCATCTCCTGGGGCAAGATATGATGGAGAAGATTAAACACTTTCTCCTAATTCAAGTGGAATCTTCCATTTTTTATTTCATACAAGAAAAATCACTAAAAATGCAAACTACTGATAAAGGATGTTATTGTTATTACTATTTTCTGAGTGATGTTAAGAATAGTCATTGGAGGTTGCTTTTTTCTCCCCAAAGTTTATTACTTATTGGGGTTATAATTGAATTTTTATCCTGCCTATCCTCAAAGGAGTCATGGCATTGGACAGGAAGTCTTTTCTGAGTTTTAATCTCATAAACTACTTTGAGCTGAAAATTAGTAATTGCCCCAAATGACGCATTGAATTTTATAGCTGAGTGATGACTTTAACTTGGGACACTATAGTCCCACACTAACAAACTAGCAAATATACCACAGTGGTTCTTCTGTTGGGTTCATCCTCACCAGCATCCTCCTTCTCTTTTATCTCTAACTGACAGGCTCAATTCTAGTATTTGGATCCTGGAAAAAACTATTTCCATTAAACGGATTTGTATAAAAAATTACTAAATCTCTTTTGGTTAGATTCAGAATGGAAACCATTCTCTAAAGTAAGGAGGCTTCTAGACTGCTGATGCTTCTTTGGTATGATAGTTTGATTTGCCCTTCCTCCAAATAAAATCTCAGGATTTTTTAAATTGAGCTTAATCAAATTATTCTTTGCATCCTTCCATAGACAAACTACTTGGGCAGAGGATAGAGCACAACTATAGAACTTAGAGAAAAAAGGAAGGTATGTTGCAGAAACATAGGAACTGTAGCATGTTCTTAGCCTGGCTCGTGGTCATTGAATAATCTAAAGAATAAATTAAATTAAATTTCAAGTTCCTGGACCGTATTTTTAGATAAAGTTTTTATTTTAAAATTTTGCCATTTTCTCTCCCCACCCCTTTGTTCTAAGAGCTCAGAAATGATGTGCATGGTTGTTTAACATGCTTATACATTTTATTATTAGGAGAAAAAAATAGGGCAGTATCAGGGCCCACTTCAAAACCTCATCCCAAGAAAGCAGAACTCATGGAAGCAGTTTCTTTCAAAAGGAACTTTTTTTAGGAGAAGCCAATAGCAGGCATAATAGACAGGATCTGAGGATTTCCCGCTCACATCAATAGGTTAAAGGAGTCCCAAGGAAACCCCACCCCAATAGTTCATCTAGTCAATTCAAATGGGCCAATCCCCAGGTGTTAAGTCCATTGTGGGAAAGAGCTGATAATGCCGGTCTGTCTCAGGCTTGTAGCGATGTTTGTTGGGTCTTCGCACCTTCCCTTCCGAAACAGGAGATAAGCCAGATGGCCGGAGGTACATTCCTTCCCCCTCCCCCTTTCAAGCTGATATCAAGGGGAGACAGTTCAAAGAGCAAGTATTCAGAGACAGCAAAAAAGTTACATTGTAGCAATAGAGAGAAACAAAGAGGCAGCCCTCAGTGTCTTCTCCCCTCCCTTCCAGGAGTATGGCAGAACCCAGAATAATAGAAGAAATAGAAGTAGAAGGAGCCCCCTT